ACTGTATAAGATTGGAAAACTTGTGCTGGGCTTTTCTGTCAAGAGCAACAAAGAACTGCAATGTGAATTTTAGCTTGCTAAAGATCTCTAGGTGTCACTGAACAAGCAGCCTGAGTATGTCTGATTAATTAAGACTACAGGTAAAAACCCCATGTCTCTGAGAAAATCCCTTTATATATTATTTCCTGTGAATAACAAGGAAAATCCTCCACTAAAATACATACATACATCTGAATGAAGCAGTGGTCTGTGATTTTAGACCCTTGCTGATCACTAAGAATTTTGCAAATAACCTGAGAGTAAACAGATTTGCTTTCATTTTGCTGCACCTAAAAAAAACCCTACAAAAGTGACAATGGAGGCAAAAGAATACTTTAAATTACTAAAATATGTACTTTACTGTTTGCGAGATGTATAGATCTGTTTGGTAAATCTTCCATGTTGGAAATAATTGAAATATATTTGTGACATGAGTTTGTTTAAATAGTGTTCCTGTGAGGCAATTTCTGTACATTTGTGTTTCCTGCATAGGGCTGCAAGCCACGTGTGTTTAGAAAATTCTCTCATTTTCCAAAACAACACTCCTTATCACACCGAAATCCTTCCTTGTCTGGATGGTTGTGCGTTGCTCTTCTGTGTGCAGCTAAATGATTGTAAGTCACACCAACATTAAGTTGCTCTTTTCTTTGTTAAAGCTCTTCTCTGAAGCTGAATTGAAATACAAAAAAATACAATATTGATCATTATCTCCACAGGGATTATAGCAAACAGAAGTTGGGTGATAACACAAATATGCTTGCATGTGATGAAAAGTCTTTTCCCTTGTTCATGAAATAGTTTTCAAGATTCTGATGGTATCTTAAAGACTGAAAAGTTTTACCTGACATAAGATGTTCTGGACTACAGCCCCCTTCATCAGATGCAGTTCACGAAAACTTATGCAAAATATAATGTGTTAGCCTTTAAAGTGCTTTAGACTGTTACTTTTGCTAGATGCTCTAATACTATACTTACTTATGTTGGATGTGGGGTTTTAACCAATGGAATCACAAGGAATTGAAATGTAGACTTTTTACCTTTTTTTCAGAAAGGTTTGTAACAATTCCTATTCCACCCCTGAAACTGCTAATATAATTTGAGAATTATATTAGCAGCTTCATAGTCCAGCATTTCCTGTGCAGAATACTTATTGTTTGTTTTCATTCCTTAAATTCATTATGATGATGATGCATTTTAGCTCCACTTATTTTGTGATTATTTGTTTCAAAATATTGCATTGCGACTGAAACCATGCAGTCTACCTACCTTGTCTTTAAGCAGTTCTCAGTTCCCTTTCTAAAGCAACATGCAACCTAGTGCCATCAGGGTTTTTGCACTAGGTTCCCCATTGTCTTTGGTAGGCTATATCGCTGGAAGCTGTTGGGGTTGTAGTCCAAAACATCTGTAGGACAGCTGTAGTAGTTCACTGATGAAAAACTGAAGTTTTTGAAGGATGGATGCTGTCTGATGTTCCACAAAATAGCAATGTGCTGTTGGTAGCACTGTTTTCCTTTAGATACTACCACAAAGTTCTTCCATAATTCTGTACTTCTACTGAGAAGTAGAACTATAAGTTGTTCGTGTAGAAGCACTGAAGATAAATGCTGCTCTTGTTCCAGTGCAGTGTATAGGGGAAAGAGCTTGCAGCTCTACAGCAAAAGAATCTTGCACCAGGTCACATACATTTTAATTCTGTTATCAGTATGATGCTATCATATGCCTCCCAAAGGGAGGTGTGATTTCTTTTAAAACTTCTTTTAAATTTCCAAAGAAAGCCTGGTCATGTATGTCTAAAAATTGGAAGAATGTTCATTTAAGGTATTTATATATCACTATTCATCATCATATTCATTTTTATAGTCAGTTTTGTATAATCATTAGTGGGCTAGGACTCAAGAAACTTGGGTTCATGTGAGCTGGAGGATAAAAACACAGAGAAGAGAGAGTGAGCCATTCCCTCACACGTCTATAGAGGAGGGTGATAGAGAGGCAGCGAAAGTGACAAAAGAAGGGAAAGGATTGGAAGTGGAAGAAAAGGGGGAGGAACGAGAGAAGAGGGGGAAGAAAGTAGATGTTTTCTTGCTTATGGAGGAGGAAGGGAAGTCGGGAGACAAGGAAGGTGGTCATTTGGGAAGAAGAGTGGCAAGAGGAGGAAGGGGAACAGAGAATATTCAAAATACCACAGAAAAAGGGGATAAAGGATGAGATACATGATACACTAGAAGGAAGGAAGGAAGAAGGAGAGTTAAATATACCGTTGGAGGAATTAGGACGGAAGAATGGACCGTGCTAGTATACCCTCAAGGCCAAGGTCCTTGGAAGAAGGTGGCCAACCAGGACCTCTCCTGCCAAAGCAGAAGCCACTTGAGGGCAACTGGTCTCATCACCCCTGTTGTGGGCTATATGTGCGGTAAGGAGTGGCTCCTTGAGAAACCTGACCAATCAAGAGATTTGGACCCTCTCCCTGCTGAAGAAAGAAGATTCAGATGGAAGTTTACCTTTGTTGTGGACTGATTTACCTCTAGACCTTGGTCACGTTGACCCTATGGAAGTTGTCATTGATAAACCCAATAGTTTTGTTAATAAATAATTTGCTGTTAAAGAATCAGCCAAAAATGAGGAACTGTCATATATTATTAACGAATCCTGTCACAGTTCAGTTCTCTGCTTGGCCATGAAACCCACTAGGTGTTCTTGCACCAATCACACATGCTCATTGTGTCCTACCATATAGGGTTATGAGGATAAGATGGGCAAAAGGAGAAACCACATACAGCAGCTTGAGCTCAGTGGAGGGACAAAAGGATGTGTAAGTAATAAATACTATTAATGGTAGGGGGATTTACAGTGAGATTTAAGATTAAATAATAATGAAATATTTAACAAGCCAATTAAAATTAATAAACAAATAATTCAGCTAAGATAATATTTCTTTAAAAGAGTAATTGCAACAGTGAAGTAAATACTTCAGTTCCAATCTTTTCAACTATAAGCCCCAACTGTTTAAACTATAGCATCCTCCTAATGTTGTTTTGAAGTTCAAACTACTCAGAAAATAAACAAGTTTTAAACAAGACACTTAAGATGCAGTAAAGCAGGCACCATATGAGCTTCTTTGGAGAGGGTACTTGACAATTGGGAGTTTCAGAAGAGACTGCAATAATTCGGCATTTTTGTTCTCTTTTGACATGAAGTGGAAGATGTACATTTAACATGTACTGGGTCTTATGACTTGTTCTGAAAAATTCTTGCTTCTAGAAAGAGTTTGTGTTTAATGGATTTTCCAAAATGAGTAAGTTCATATTTTAGCACTGTGATATTGAGGCTTACACTTTTCTCATTTCTACATATAGCAAAGCTAAACTATTGGCAGCAGCCTCAAGTGGTTACAGAGACAAACTTTCCAGCACTTTCAGCACAATATGGAGGGTCATCATTCATCTTCGCAGAACAAGTTCAGTCATCTCCATCTGCCTTTTATCGGGTGAGCTGAAACTTATCAATAACTATTTTGTTTTGAGATGTGAGAGTGCTGCTGCTAGAGTGTATAGATGGAAGAGGTTATTTAGGCATCATTGTTTCAGCTCCAGCGTTCTTTTGTTTCCTCCTTTTTCCAGCACAATGAAGTCTGCCTAGTAGCTTATAATATAAGCTTATACAAAGAGACATCCTCGGGCAATAGAACAGAACATCTTAAAGTGTACTTTACTAGTGTCCAGTTAATACTTCTGCTCCTCTCCTGAGTCCATTTTGCTAAAAACCACTCCCTTTCAACTCTCCTCTTTCCCTTTCAGGTGGGGGATCCAATTCAGACTTACTTTGCTGCATCATCCATAATGAGTGTTCTCAAACAGCCAACAAACATGGGACCAAGTCAACTCTGCATTGATGAGAATCCCACTGGTGAGAACAGCAACTTCAGCCAAGTTTTAACGTCACATCACAGTGGTTTACCCATTTTGCTTGACCATGGGAACCGTTCATTGTTTCTGGTAGCCACAGAGGTTAGGTTTTCTTGCTTCATGCGTTATAAAGGCAAAAGGAAATGTGTCCCCTTTTTTCATTCTTCACTGGAGGAAGGGAGTTGGTATATAACAACTTCTCTGATTCAGCCTGAGACACAGACCATTATCCCAGCTCAATATGGAGCCAAATATTATATTGAAAGAGGCATACCTTGCCTTTCAGTGTTGCTAGTATGTTACAGATTTCTGTGTTGGTGAAGGAAATGTATGCTTCTGTTCAGGCCTAACTCTGTCTGGTTCTTAAAGTGGCAGGACTTCAAAATCTGGTAAGGGATGTTTGTTGTCACTTGGAGGCACTGGCAGTGGCAGGCCGGCCGAGCTATAGGCAGTGGCAGGGTTGGACATGACTGGAGGCAGCTCTGGAGTGGGGTCTGGAGGTGGCTCTGTGCCCAGAATTCCCCCTTCCGCTGCCACTTCCGCTGCTTAGCTACCACCACCTGCTGGTTTTGTTTTGTTTTGTTTCCAGTTTGGGCACTTGAGCTGAAAAAGATTTGCCATCACTGACCTAGATGCTGGAAGCTCTGTTTCAAGCCACAGGCAGATTGTCACTATAGACTTCATTTGTGGATGCCTGTCTACTAGGATGACATTTGCTACTTGATTTTCACCTTCTTATGTTTGTATTGTAGCCTTCCTGGAGAGTAAATGCACAAGTTGTATACGGATCCTTACTGATTTGATAAGTAGCTGTACCACTGACCCTGCATTAGATGCTGTTTCCTACTATCATGACTTTACTGTGCTGAAGGTATTAATCTGCAGTTGACACGATCATTTTGACGACCCTGCATTAGATGCTGTTTCCTACTATGACTTTACTGTGCTGAAGGTAGTAATCTGCAATTGACACGATCATTTTGAGGTTATTATTTTACTGCTTTAGTGTAATATTGATTAGCTTTCTTCCTAAATGTGTATATTGTTATTTTTAAACTTATTAGCTGAATTTTTAAGGGGGAAGGAACTTGGGGAATTTTATAAGAATGACATATACGAAAGCTTGGATGTCCTAAATAATGCATCCATTTTCAATAAATGCAAAAAAGATAAGATTGTAGGTCTGATATCAGAGGCTTTCAAACCATATGTTCTTATGCAACTACCAATGCATCTGCTACTTTTTGTTTTCAGGTCCCGGGCAACTTTACCATGTTTCAGTCCAGACAGGTGAGGTTATGTCAGTGGTAGTATTTGTTTCCTTCCTGAGTTATAGAAATGAGACATGAGAATCACAATGAATCTTTTGTGTTCATTTGTGTCTCATAATGGCCCCTGGGCAGAAAAAAGCACTGGAGAAGGAAACAGGTTTATAGTTTTATATATAAGGAATTTATTTTGGGAAGGTGTTTGTTCATTTATCTTTGGCCATGATTCTGTTGAAAATTGGGATCAAAGACTGCAAAAATAATTTGTAACTGTAAATTGCAACTGCTGTTGGTCTAGAACTACAGAATAATTTGTAACTGTAAATTGCAACTGCTATTGGTCTAGAACTATGTGGGGTGAAAACAGTATGGTCCTTGAAAACTAAAACTGTGGTTTGGTATCTTCAGGTCAACATCACACCTCTTTCAGAGCCTGCCTCTCCCTCTCTGGACGGCAACACATGCTACAATGTTGTTTCTGAGGTATTTCATTAGTACAGCAAATGCTGTTCTCATGAGGATGGGGGAATGAGGAAATATTCTTTGACCTTTCTAGTACCATGTCTTACCTCACCATACCTGTTACACTTTGAGGTGATCTATGAGATTGAGTTCAGTGGAATCCATGGAATTCAGAACGTTTCTGTCCAGTTCAGAATGGTCAATATATCTGGGAACCCAGGGTGTACACTGCAACAGCACTTTTCTCTGCATTTTGGGGTAAGTGGTTTGAGGAGTGCTTGTTTGGAGAAAAGGAGAGAAATTGGCAATGTGGGAAGTGGGACAAGCAGGGGAGCAGGGCTGTTTATCTCGCATGAGCATGTCATGCTCACGGGGGATGCTTGTGTGTATGCACACAGTGTGCTCACAGGGGGAATGCACTCATGCGCATGCGTAAGGCATGCTCGTGCACTCGTGGGGGGGGGTAGGAGATCTGTGTCTATGGACCAGTCCTGAATAGGCGGCGCATGCGTAAGGCATGCTCGTGCACTCGGGGGGGGGAGGAGATCTGCGTCCATGGACCAGTCCTGAATAGGCCGCGGACCGGGGGTTGGGGACCTCTGATGTATACAACCGGAAGCTGTGCTGCATTATATTTTGAGATCTCTGGATGGAATCTCAGCTTAGTGTTCTCTTAACGTGGGCCTTTGGCAGTATTGATGCTGTCAAACTGAGTGGCTATTCCTGAGGTGTGAGAGTGGTTCCAAGTCCATTTCCTGGTCATATTTATTTGCAGAAATGATTGAGTGTGTGGTATGGAAAACCTGACATAGAGATGGTGTAGGAGACTTGGTAGTTCTCAAACCCATCAGAGTTTCAGGTTGTTGAGCTAAGGAAAGATTTTCAAGGTCTGACACAAGGTTGAAAGGGTCCCCATTCTTACCAGAAGGGAGTTGGTAGAGGGGGAAGGTGCTGATGCTTTGAAACTATGTTCCAGGCCTTTCTAATGGGGGATGTGCTTGCACACATCAAAGGGAGCAGTATCGTTTACAACCAACAATGGCTGAAATTCCTGAGACATCTCTGTGTTCATACATACACAACAGTCTTTACCCAGTCCAGTTTGCTCAGTGTGTTTTTCTGTTGTTATGCTTTTAATTTGGTTGATATCATTTTCCTTACTATTTTGTCTCTTGCAGAATAGGAATCCTTCTTTTACCAAACGGAGAAGTGGGAATCCTGGCTACATCAAGAGAGCACCACTAATAGCCCTATACAATAGCACCCAGCAGCCTGTATCTTTTTTAGCCCTGTGTTTGATGCACTGTTTTTGACACTAGCTATAGTTTCACATTTTAAGTGATTGTGTGCTGGAAAATTGTAGGTGCTCTTCCTCGAGATCACAGTTTGAAATATTTTAAACTTGCCTAGTGTTCTTCAGGCCATTGGATGTATTTATACGGAAGTGACCTGTGAGAACAAATTTTAGAATTAATTCCCCAACCTTGGATAACAGGTTGTCTCATATTTACCTGCAAATAAGAGCAAAAAGCTAGTTTCACTTACTCTTTGGAACTTACTGATTCACAGGGTCACCTTAAGTCATAAGCAATGTGATGGCACATAACAACAGCAAGATAACTTATCAGCAGCCTGCAGAATAATTTGCCACATAGTGTTTAGTCAATTGATTTCCTTACTTTGAACAACATTTTAGATTGTGTTGGGTGGGGTAGGTGATAACAGGTATATGCAACTATAACCCTCTTTGTTTAGTCTCAAGTTCTGTGTTTTGCATTTTGTACTTTTTGAAGGCTGTGTTACAATGTTTTTGTTTTAAGTTCTTGCACCTATTAAAAAGAGCATGTGAGTCATTATGTCAGGATGGGACTATGTGTACGGGCTATGAAAATCTATAATTTTATTAGAATGAGTTCAACCTTCATCAACCTCTGGAGAAGTGGCAGTCTTCTGCAGGAAATACAATCCAGCAGCACATTAAAGATTAACATGCTGGCCTTGATGAAGTTGGATACATGCAATATGGTCCACATGACAGGAATACAGTGGGATGGGGGAGAGTTGAAATTGTAGGTTCAGATGTCAGTGAAATGCAAATCTCTGATAATTCATTCAAAACATAAATATATGTACATTGGCATAGTGATCAGCCATTATGGCACTTTATGAAGAGCCCAGCTGTTTTGTCAAGAAGGTGTTGTCAGCCAATGAGGATTATAAGCATGTCTAGAAACAGCCTGTGCATTGTATATCTAGGAAAGGAGATGATGATTTACATACCCTCTTTTGATTCTCAATTTTGAGCAGTATATACAGCTGCCCTCTTGTGTGCCACAGTAATCAGCAATACTGTACTTTGTAGAGAGGCATTCCTGACAGCTGTCCTACATCTGGAGAATTCTAGTTAGAGATTTGGCCAAAGAGAGAGAGAGAGAAAGATGATTCTCTCCAGGTTTTCTTTCAATGGTTGAGACTAACCTAGCAAAATGCCAGAGTTTGATGTTGTATTAAATTAAATCAGATTGTCTTAATATATTTTGAATGACTAATCATTAGTTTCTCACTCCAGATATTTAGGAGTAGAGAAACTATGTAATGAATACTGTACATAATTATTTATGTATTCATGTGTTGTTGCCTGCCTTTTTTCATGACTGAAGAGTTTCTCTAATTCCATTAGATTCTAGTTTAGTTTCTTGACATATCCCTTTCCTCAGATAACCATTCTGCAGAATCAAGGTGATGGCCACTGCTCAGCAACTGAAAGATATATGATAGGGTTTGGAGAGAATGTAAGGACAAGCTGCCAGTTCAGGTGACATTCCTCATATTCTGTTATAAATTTGCACTTTTTCTGAAAGCTTCACAACTAAACTGATAATGTAGGGGAGTGTTCTTTGCTTAACATCTGAATTAAAGAACCCAGCAAGGGGATTTTCCCATCACAAACTGTCCCTTCATTGAAGGATTGATTTATAAATGTTCTACAAAGATTCCAGTTCAGTAATTTCTAGGATTTAGAATATATTCAGCCCACAGAACATTTTAGAATCTTCTTTTTTTTCTGTCTTTCTTCCCCACGTTCCTACTCCAAAAAATGAGCTAAGTTGTAAGCTGTCTGTCTTTGTATGGGTAGGCTTTCAACTGGCAGAGCTTCTGTGTTTCTGTTTGGAAACAAAAGTTTCACTGACTTACTAGACACATGGGCTTTTCTTATTCTATTTCCAGTATGCCTTTCAACCTGGAAGAAGCAAACTGTAGCCATTTGCAGGAGATACTGTATCAGGCCTTCCAATGGGTGCATAGTCCAGTGAGCTTGGCCATAACTGGCAACGCTAACCCAGCCCATCCCGAAGAGTGGAACATAGTCTTCTATCAGAAGTGCAGCATGCAGGTAATGAAGGGAGAAGAAGAGAGAAGTGGAGAAGGCAGCTGCATATCTATTTTTCCTACAACCAGGTCAAGCTGGGGCAATAATATGTTTTGCCAGAATCTCTGGTACTTTCACAAATTCTTGTTTTTGTTCCTTCCAAAGAAAAGAGAGACAATTATTGTGAACTTTTGGTGGGGAACGTCTTTCTGCCCAAGGGCTTAATTCAGTGACAGAGCGGTTCTTAGGGCTGCCTTCAAGTTAGAGGGGCAGGAGCAAAGACAAAAAAAAGTATTAATATACCAGCTTTAAACTCTTACTGGTAGTAATTAAGCCTTAAGAAAAGCATTTCAGCTTCTTAGAAAGAAGAATATACATAGCTGGAAGACACGGAGCAATAGTGCCATGGAGAAGGATGTGATGCCATCTGGGAAACTTCAGGAGAGCCAGCTTGTGCTCCAAGACCTAAGATTTCTCACCCTTGCTGCAGACATCTTGCAGCACCAGCTGCTTTTTCATATTTTGCTTTATGCTTGGACATAGATGTTGCAGTAACTCTGAGCCCTCTCCTTGTCACTCCTAATCTGTTAATAATTCTTTAAAGTTATTTTCTTCAGAGATTAGTTTTTGCTCTGTTTATCATTTTCTTTTTCTCTTTAGGATGAGCACTGTATGCTTCCTATCTCTCTGGAGATCCAAGTGATGTGGGCTCAGGTGGGCCTCCTGTCTAACCCACAAGCTCAAGTATTAGGAGGACGGTACTATTACCTCTGCAAACCTCTGAAGGTTTGTCATAGAGAATGCCTTAGGGGCTTTTTTCCTATTTCTTTGGGCGAGATTGCACATAGTTTAGCATTACATGCATGAGTCATAATGTGTTTTGGGTTCATGTATTTCCCTCTCCTCTTTCTTCTGTGTGCTTGACTAAGCTTACATTTGGAATGTCCAAGTAATAAAGTTCCCTCTTCCATACAAACTTGGGGGGAGCTGGTTATGTATTCTTAAAGGCTTTCATGGCTGGGATCTGATGGCTGTTGTAGGTTTTTCAGACTCTTTGACCGTGTTCTGATGGTTGTTCTTCCTGATATTTCGCCAGTCTCTGTGGCCGGCATCTTCAGAGGACTGTAACAGAGCATGGACTGAGTTCCTACTCCAGTCCTCTGAAAATGCCGCCACAGAGACTGGCGAAACGTCAGGAATAACAACCTTCAGAACACGGCCAAAGAGCCTGAAAAACCCACAACAACCATCAGAGCTGCTTATCTTTAGTTCAAACAAGTTAGGCTCAAATAGCTGTTTATAATCCTGGCTTGATTATTAATTTGAGTTTAAAATAATCAGATTTCCCCCATTTTGAATGTTCATGCAGAATAGGTGCTTTCTGTTGTCATCTCCAAAATGTGTGCAAGCATAAGAGTTCCTGTAGTTTATGCATGTAATGCTAAACTGTGGTATAGCATTATAGTTGAACTCTCCCGTTAAATTATTTCACTATTTTTTTCTACGTATTTAAAGTGATGATAAATCCTAGCTAAATCCTTGTGCTTAATCATCATTTTAGGAAAGAATATAGGGAGATTAACTGAGAAATCTGCTTCTGTTAGGGGTGATGTAAGGGAGGATTATAGAATTTATATTAATGGATATAGCTCTCTATCTGAAGTATCTAAATTAATCTGTTGCCTTTGTAGAAAGAGTTACAGCTCAAGAAATTGGTTATTTATGGAGTGCAGTGCCATCTGTTGCCACATGGGGCACACATATGAAGCTATAGTCAGCAGACAGAACTAGGAGGTGTACTACCAGTATTTATTTCTTATTTGTTTTTATTTGTTTTTTGGATTCCTGCTCACAGAATTATCAAAGAATTCCCCAGGCAGAATTCTGCATGTTCCTGCCCATAGACACCTATACGCCCATACATTTCACTCATCTGTAACAGGGCCTATCTTCCAGGCTGTCCTTGTTCAAAAAGGAAACTGCTCCAATGCTTCCTAGGAGGCCTAGGTCTTTGTAGGAGGTGTAGTCTTTCTACCCATTAGGCACTATAGAGGGAATTCCCCAAAGAACTATACCTCCCATTAAGGCCTAGGCCTTACAGAAGCACTGGGACAGTTTCCTTTTTGTAGAGGAAGTAGGCCCAAGACAGTATGGCTCTGTCCCGGTCAAATGAAATGTAAGTGTGTATCTCTGGGCAGGAACTCCCAGAATTCTATCTGGGGAATTCTTGGAAAATTCTAGGAGCTGGAGTCTAAAAATACCAACAAAAGCAGGCACACTCAAAAACAAATGGCATACCCCTACATAGAATAGCTGATGGTTGGCAGTTATAAGCTGGAAGTTCCCGTGGGGCTGACCTCTAGATTCTGTGTATATTCCTTCTGTAACTGCTTCCTATAAAAGTGAAATTCTCCACTTCTCAGTAGTAAGATGAATCAGGAGATGACACTGGTAAAATATGGGAGCAAGAAAGAAATACCAGTTTTCCATTCTCTTTGTTGACAGATAGTCCCTGTATCCCATTCTGAGCTAAAGCAAAGAATAATGTTAAATACTTCAAAGGTATTTCAAAGGTACTTCAGAGGAGAGAGAGGATTTGTTCTCGGTCATCTCAGCATGCAGGATACGTAATAATGGGCTCAAGTTAGAGGAAGCCAGAATTATGCTGAATATTAGGAAAAATGTGTAAACTGTTAGAGCAGTACAACAATGGAACCAGTTACCTCAGGACTTGGTAAGTGCTCCAATGCTGGAGGCATTCAAGAGGAAACTGGACAATCATCTGTTGGATCTGCTTTGATTTGGATTCCTGCACTGAGCATCGGGTTGGACTCAATGGCCTTAACAGCCCCTTCCAACTCAGTTGTTCTATGATTCTATATCAATGATGCAAAGCCCCTTTTATGTTCCATCTTCCTATAAAGTACCTGTATGTCTACATAAATGACTTAGGTCCTTTTTTCATGTTCTACTTATTTTAAACTAAAAGAAACAATAGCTCTATATTATGATCAGTAAAGGATAAGAGGAATATTGATCAGTTTATTATTCTGTTCCTCCTGCCCTGAGGCTGGCTGTAACTTAGGAAACAAGGAAGACTCTGTGGGTCATACAGTAATAGAGGATTTTTTTATTTATTTCTTCCTGCAGTCCTTCATCGCATCAATGAACATGTTGCCTTTGACAACTACAGTTGCCTTCACTGACGTTACCAAATGGCCAGATCCTCCACGTGGTCAGCCTAAAGTCTCTTGGAAGCTACCATTTGATTTCTTCTTCCCTTTTAAAGTGGCATTGAGCAGGGCTATGAGCAGTTCAGGCAGCTTAGCTTGCATTTTGTTTATTTCCTTAATGTTGCATGAAATAGGTATCTCATGAAACAAAGAGACACCCCTCAAACAGGAGGAAGAGTCATATGCTATGGTGTAACCCAGAATCAGAAGTACTAGTCTTCTGGATAAAGGCATTTTCCAGATACAGTCGATGAAGAGAGAATGACAGAAGTGGCTTTCCAAGATGACAAGAGGTGCTTCTTGTTTTGTGTAAGAACTTATTTATAAAACTGTTTGAACCTGTGGTCAGTTGAAAAAACAACATTCCATGGTGAGCTGGTTATGTTCACATGATATGAAATACAAAATTTGAGTTTCAGCCCATGATAGCAAGTTCTGATTATTGAACCCTAAATGATGTGCCAAATTTGTTTTTAATGTATTTCTTTACTCTCTGTAAAATATGCTTTTGTTATTAGCCTAGTGCAAATAAGAATTAGGATCCAGAATGATAGGGATTAGAGATGGGGGTATTCGTATACGAATATCCCCCCCACAGGTGGAAATAACGAGGGTCCGGCCCCATGGGGTCGGACTGTCCACTCACCATTCCACCGCTGACACGCGCTCAACAGAGCTTTCCTATCGTGCCATTCACCGCAATAGATTAGCCACTCCTGGCAGGAGGTGGGATGACAAGCCTCTCTGCCAGGTCGCAGAGTGGCTAATCCATTGTGGACAATGGCGCAATAGGAAGGCTCTGTTGAGCCTCATTATTTCCACCTGTGGGGGGATATTCGTATAGGAATACCCCTATCTCTAATAGGGACAGGTTTTTTTCCACATTCAGAAGCTTCTGAGCATGTGCCCCGAAAGGTTTTCCAGCGTGTACAGTATGTGTTTGGGTGTGAACTCAGACTGATATAATTCCCAGTCAAGGAAAAGACACAGTAATTATGAATGCTTGGTATCTTCCCTTCTGATAAGAAATATATTGAAATAAGAACTTTTGAACCTTCAGTCTGCTTTCCCTTCCCTCATGCTAAAGGAGACCTTGAGTCATTTGATAGCTCTTAATTCTGTAATGAACATAATTAGCATAGCTACTTTATCTTAATGGAATATGGATCAAAATTGATAGAATTTCCGTTATAAATATATAATAATCATGCTGCTTTTCATATGACTTACTTTTATTGTACCACTTTGCTTTTACATAGCGATCACACAGGCTGCAGCCTTTTCTAGAGAGGTCAACCTGGGACATTCAGTACCTTATTTCTCAGGACTCAGTGTATGATCCAGAGTATTAGCTATACTGTGCTGGCAAAAGCATTTGGCAAGAACTGGGCTATCATTTGTTTGTATAGCAAACTGTGTTCTACTTAAAGAGTTATACTTAATTTACTTAACAACCCAAATTCAATATATAAAACATTAAGGATTTATGATCTTTTTCCGGCTACTCTGCCTGTCTCAGACCCTGGTCACACAAGGTAAATGTTTTCTAGCTCTTCTGATACTTTCCATACCTCTGTTGTACTGAATAGTGATCACGTGGTTTATATCCCAGGACAAAAATCCCAAAAACTTTTAACAGTACCAATTTATTTCCTCCTATTTGAATCATTGTCATTGGCTACACTATAGTATCAGTTTATATATATATATATAATTAGATTTATTCATACATCAGGAACAAGGTTCCTTCTACCACCATGCACCCACACTGATATTTTCTAGCCCCTTTCATTCTGATTGCAATGGAACCCTGCATGGGGGGTGTACTCGTGCACAGCAAACTAGTGCATGGGAGGGTAGATCCCCGCCCAGCAGGGCTGAAAATTAGAAGGAATGTTGATTGGGAAGGGGTTTCTGTTTAGGAAAGGATTCTCTGTTGCACTGGCTGCTCCTGCAGAAATGCACTGCAAACAATGGACATGGATATTTGCACAGCTGTACAGACAATCATCCCCCATGAAATTGGCACACTGATTGGTCAATGTATCTTCCCATAGAAATAAAAAGTTATTACTCATCTGTAATGTAATGGGGGGATGGGTGGCATACTTTTACCAATGTATCACGGAAAAAATGTGTGGTGCATTAATGATGGCCACCTTCCTGGCTTTGATTCTGAAAAGAAGCAGGGCAGATTATGCACACAGGCAATCTTGGTAAGGAATGCACCGGTACAACAAAGGTACCAAATAACACAACCCTTCTGGCAATGGAGAAATGTTCCACAATTACACCACAGCTCGGGAAAATGTCTCAATCTTGACTGTGTGTAATATAACCAGGAAAAAAAGTAACAACCTGACTGGGGGATAATTAGAGAACATTTCTCTCATGTGACCAGGGCCTGGGTCTAAAACAGGGGAAATACAATGTTCAACTTTACACTTTCAATACTGCTTCATGCTGTGATACAGTTTGAACATGCTTCCCCCCCCCCACAGTAATGGCACTTTATATTTCACCTTCTTAAATAAATGTGGAATAGATCTATCGTGTGGTTGCTTATTAGTATTTCCCTGTGATATATGAGGACTAGAGATGGGGGGTATTCATATTTGTATATGAATACCTCCCCACAGGTGGAAATAACAAGGGTCTGGCCTCCTGGGGTCAGACCGTCCACTCACCGTTCCGTTGGTGCCGTGGGCTCTGCATTCCCTCCCTATCGTTCCGGAGCTTGCAGTGTATTAGCCACTCCTGGCAGAAGGCAAGATGACGAGCCTCTCTGCCAGGTGGAAGAGTGTCTAATCCGGTGCAAACTCTGGAGCGACAGGAAGGGAGTGCAGAGCCCATGGCAGCAGCGGAACAGTGAGTTGGACGGTCTGACCCCAGGAGGCCAGACCCTTGTTTTCTCCACCTGTGGGAGGTATTCATATATGAATACCCCCATCTCTAATGAAGACCATATCTTTTCTCCAGTATCTTGAAATGTATAATACGCTGTTACAAAATGATCACCATCTGATAAATCACCCTGAACAAAAGCACTCCTTCCTCATGGCATAGATAATTATTGTCCCAGAGGTAAAAGCATTAATGCCTGCATATGCTTTAAGTCTCCAGATGGAGGTGGCAGTTCAGAACACATCAACTGTTGTTGTCCTTTTGTGGCCATAAGAGGGAGCTGAGAATCAGTCTCGTTTGGAGAATGAACCAAATGACATGCTACAGACTTGAAATATGTGTCCCATGTATAAAAATCATGTTTCCTATGCTTATATCTCAGTGTTTTTTTTAAAAAAAAGTTCATACCCAATTGAATTTTAAGCATCAGTCTATGGTTTTTTAAAAAAAAAATTATAAAACTTTTACGATTATAAAGGTGGCTGGCTGGTTCATTGGTTTAAGTATACGGCTGCAGAGCTAGCGGTTAGGAGTTTGATTCCTCATTGTGCATCCCAGAAGAGTCAGCCTAATTTGGCCTTGGGCAAGCTGCAGAGTCCCAGGATGCCCCCAGAAGAAGGGAATTGTAAACCCATTTCTGTGTACTCTCTACCTAGAAAACCCCCAAAAATGGTCACCATAAGTCAGAATTGACTTAACAGCACATGATTATTATAATTATTATTTAAAACCTAAGGTAGGCAAAAACAGTGACCTACTATCCTGTCAACAGTAAAATAAGGACACGTTAGCAAAAATTAACCTCAAGGTTCAGGTAATTTCAGATCATTTATGGTTTTGTAATTAGAGTGTGATATGAAAACAAATGATAGTGCCTTGGCCCAGTGCCTGGCTTCTCTGTCCTCTTCTCACTTCAGAGTTTGGCACAACCATGTTAGAATTCTTTTCCTGGTGACCTGTACCACAGTAATTGCTTTTGAAAGTCATGAGAAATTAATGAGTTTATTGAGCATACCTGCACCACCTGTTTTTCTTAGGAGACATCACTAAACAAACTACAAGTAAGAAGTGCAGCCTAAATCTTACCCACCTTTCCAATTGATACATGATCACTGCATTTTAAACCAGCTAATTGTTTTTATTTACTTTCCATACAAAAGCACTGTAGAGCTTTCACTGTGGTCCAGCCAAATGCTCTGCTATCAGCAGTCAAGAAGGGGAAGATTAAAAAGATTGCATACTGCCAGTACTAATGATGGCCCAGATGATGGACTGAAACAACATGATTCTGTTAAGAACTCCATCATTTAATTGCACACCTATTTGGAAAGCCCATACTGTATAAGCTGCTATGAGATTTCCAAAAGAAATTTCAAAATATGGTAAATAAAAGCACTTGATTTCACCTCTGATTGAGACATAGGAAACCTTGCTCCAGATACCTACCAATTTTGCTTTCTGATAACAAAGCAGGAAAGTGACAATTCTTTAAATCAGGAGCAGATTGTACAAGACAACAGAACATAAGAGGCAGGGAGAGGCACCTAAAAGGGGAAAACAAAACAAAACCTGACACAGAGACTATTTCAGTTTCAGAATAATTACTGTCTTTTTTGCACCTTTTCTCAGTGGCTTAGAGCAGCATACAAAAACTATAAGACCATCACATTAATTTCCCATGATGCAATGTGATGCTCAAGATTTTCCAGCAAAGAGTTTTCCTTGTGTGGACTGAGAAATGTCAAATGTTCACAAAATTCAGAAAAGGATAGATGCTGCAGGTTATTTTGCAAATAGATGTTGGCTACTGGAGGATACCAAAGAATTTTGGAATAAAACCAATCTGGTTTTTTTCTACATAACAGTAAAGCCTTTGATCATGTGGCTCATGGAAAGCTACAGAGTATTCTATGAGAAAGGGGTGTGCCAGAACAACCTACTGTCCAGTTGCATGGTTTAATACTCTACCACAGATTACTTCTAAAACAATATTGAGATACAGAATGAACACACATGGAAGATTGGATTACATTCAGATGAAAGAGAAATGAAAATTGATGTAAGAAACTAATTCAAGATAAGTAGATGATACCTACCATATTGCTAGTAGAAAATCGCAATGATTTGAATGTACTGATGAGAGTGAAACAAAAGCAGGATTACAGCTGAAAATTGAGAAGATAAAATTCATTACTACATAGAATTACATAACTTTAATTTCTGTAAATAAGTTGCTGAAATAGTTAAAGGTTTTTTTTTAAATTCAATCTTAATTCAATCATCTGCCAAAGGGGAAATTGCACCCAGGTGATCAGAAACTTG